TATGATAAAGAACAAAATTTGATGTCGTGATAGGTCAACGTAGACCATCTCGTCTGATTCATATCAATTTGATATGCTTGAAAATGGTTATCAAAAAAATATTCTTCCAGTTGGTGAGTTACGAGAATAACTAGGTGTTGGTCATCAGATAATACAATTTTTACCAAATGTAATTGAGGCCCAGCCTCTGTAGGCATTATCAAAACGACATCCGTCGTAATGTCATGTCCCATGTATGAAAAATTTCTGATGATTTTGATATTTGAAGGCCTGAAAACATCTGAAATTATCAATTTTTTCAGAATCTTAAGGGGAAACCGTACTGAAATTCCCAAATCGAAGAGGCCTTTATTTATTGTACTAATGAATTTATTACTTCAATTTTAATCCAAAAAAATGAGAAAAAATTAGGTTTTAATTTCTTCTATTGTGAGAATCTTCAAAAGTGTCCTCATGACGCGATTCTCAATCAGTTGACTTGAATTTTATTTTACACATTCAGAATATATGCGCAAATAAAACAGAATGAGGCTTTTTAAAAATCAATTTTTGGGTTTTTGAATTTTTTTTCCAAAATTGATACAGGCGAAAAATCTGAAAAATTGTTCAAATTGAAATACATAGTAAATCATTGGAGTATGAATTTTTCAAATTTTTCCATCATTTTCCTCATGATATTTTAAATAACTAGTTCGAAACAGCTGATAAAATTCGTACTTCACTGATTTATCATGTAGGTGAATATTACTAACTTTTCAAATTTTTGGCCTCAACCAATTTTGAGAAAAAAATTTAAAAAATGAAAAAATAGACATTTTTAAAGAAGCTCATTCATATTTGTGTACATATTATGGATGTGTGAACGAAAATTCCAGTCAATCGGTTGATAATTGTTTTATGAGGACACTTTTGCTAATTTTCATCGTCTAACGCCTCTTTCTTCTTCATAAACAGATAAGGGGATAGATGAAGGCATCGCCGATTTCAAAAATTCGGGACGGTCTCCCCTTAAGAACCATATTTTTGAATTGAAAGAATAACATTCTCAATTAATAAATTATCGTTAATAGTTATACTTATCGTATAATTAACGTGTTTCATTGTTTTTTACATATTCACTAGGATATCGATCAATGTTATCGAAACGGATGAGTTACAAATGAGAAAAAATTATTTCTGATAATAAGTCGTTGAATCTGATAATTTTTCACAACTTTCAATTCTCTTTCTACGTCATTATTATATATATTCAATGAAACCAAACAAATATACTTACCGTAGTTCCAAGAGCGCTTGAGTCTTCTGTCATATTGTCCATGACTGCTTCTGTGCACTGTTCATCGACTCCTGAGCACACAGCCTTAAGCGTCATGCGTTTACGCATCAAGAGACAATGGAAAATGTCAACTGTGTATTTTAGGAATACTTTTTATGCTCATAGGACTATTTTCCATTCGCATAGTAATCATTACCATGGGACATAGTAAGCATTACCATGTGCCATAGTAAGCATTACCATGTGACATAGTAAGCATTACTATGTGACATAGTAAGCATTACTATGTGACATAGTAAGCATTACCATGTGACATAGTAACCATTACCATGTAACACAGTAACCATTATCATGTGACATAGTAACGATTACCATGTGACATGGTCAGTATTACCTTGTGACCATGGTAAGCATTACCATGTGATATGGTAAGCATTACCGTGGGACATAGTAAGGATTACTATGTAGGGTCAGTTGAAAATCCTTTTACTATGTTGCCATAGTAATCTCTACCATGGCCATGGTAATATTTACTATTTAATTCTCTCCGTGTAGAGTCATTATTACTTTTGGTTTGTACATATAGAGTTGACTGCACCAGAAGTCTCCGGAAATTGTTATTATTGTTTTCTCTATTTTCGATTCTATTTTTTTTTCTTCATGTTTTCCATATTGAAGAAAAGTATTATTCTTTTTGTGATACCTGCTTCACAAGTGCACTATTCGAAACGATTTGGTATGCGTAACGCGATTGTTTTTCGCACGGTGTGCGTAAAGTTCACGAGCATGCGTAAGGTGATTTCTCGAAACTGAAAATTCACTTTACGCATGTTCCTCAACTTCATGCACTCATGTACAAAAACAACCACAGTACCCCCACAATCATTTCATTATTTTGTGTGTAAGAAAGTAGAACATAACGCATAAGTAACAAACTATATTATTGTATTATACTATTGTATTATTATTACTCACGCTAATTACTCGTCATGACTCAGTGATAGGCTACCTGCTCATTTTTTCGCCACGTGGTCGCCTGTTAAATACCGCCTGGATAATTCGCCTGGTCATTTCCCGTGAATTAGCCTCTATTATTTTGAGTAACGACCCGCATCTCTTGATTTGGTACCGATTTTCTTATCCGTACTCATTTGTTACTAGTTGTATAGAATATAGATATTGCAGTTACTCGAAACTTTTCTCTCTTTATTTTTGCTGAACTATTCTGTTTTCCCAAAAATCGAGTATTTAAGTTCAATTAAGCACAAGCACTGCTGACAACAAAAAGGCAAGGGTCTGCATTGCACTCATGCCTACCCGAGATCGAACAGCTCAGGCAAGTATTTTCTCACAGTTTTCTTTGTTATTGGGAGGTCATTATGTAGCTAAACTTGCTAGTTATAAGGACATTCTTGTTGACGTGAGGAAATTCGTGGCGCATCATCATAAATCGCACTGTACTTTTCACAAGCGTTAGCTTACTTGAATCTTAAGAAACTTAATAGATCTCGATAATTTCTAATAATCGATAATTGAACGATGGAAATAATCTCCGGATTTTTCCTTGTAACAAATAGAAGACCTGTCTAGATACTCTCTACCATATTGAGTCAAAAGGAGACTCCAATTATTATTTTGAAATTGAATAAAACAAACAACCACGAGGAGTAAGCAGTAAATAATCTACCTTGTCACAATTGTATTCATAAAATGACATATCTTTGATCTATCATTGATTTCTACGTGATGACGACTTGAAGTCATATTTTAGGGATAGAGATACGTGAAAAATGGTTGAATCAATTCACTACTGAACAATTGATATAAAACTGCTGTTTATTGCTAATCGCGGCTCAGTAAAATACAAGTAAAGATGTTATGCAGAAGTCGAATGGTCGACTTGCTGAGTATTCGGCAATTAGCGCCAGACTGAATTCGTATTCGTAATCGAACAAAATATTACAAAGGTAAGGCGCGATCTTTTGTATGCGTCTGAGACTCAGGTGTCTGTGTGTCCCGGTCGATGGTGGTCAACGCGAACCCTTGTGCTAGGATGTAGTGAACGCTACAATTATAATTTTATATTATGTTGCCATCTTAATAAAGACAAGCCTAAGTTCCATCAGGTCCCTATGTAGATACGTTTGTTTGTTATTAAGGTGTCAATGTCATTATTTTTTAGAAAAGAGATTATATGAATGTTCTCCTGAATGATCCTATAATGAATGTTATTCTGGTCATACTGGATAAAACCGAAACTTAATACTCAACTTTGGAAGGTCAAACGTTTTGATGATGGGATTTTTAAAGGTCCGATACACGGGATAACTTGCGAAAAAATGGATGTAGGAACTTCAAATTTGTATTGATTGCAGCTCTTATCATATTGAAGATTTCAATTTTGGATAGGCATAACCAAGCGGTTTCGGAGTATGCCCTTTTTTTTGTATGAATCTATTTCATCAACAGGCTCACCACCTCCATGTACGCATTTTATAGAATGTAGTTTCTATTGCATGCTCACAGGTAGAGGAAACTTCTATAGAATTCATTCGAAATCTTACTACCAAGGGAATTGGTAGAAATGAACGAAAAACAAATACTAATAATGCGAAAAGTCACAGTCTGAAGCCATCTGTCGGATAGGCTCGAGTCCCTGCTTGTGTGTAGAGTCGTGCATGAAGGGGGGAGCGTCACGACATGGCAAACGACTATTATCAAGCTGAATAAGGAGAATTATAGTACTCGGCGGGAAGAAGTTCGACGGTATGAGGTTGGAGATTACTGAAGTTCTTCCAAAGTGTCAGATCTGTACTCATGAAAAATACTCAGGTTCCATAGAGAGTTACTGAAGAGAGAAGGATAGAAAACATTTTAGAAATTGTGCATACAGACATTTGTGGAATTATAAGGGTCCCTATCGCGTCAGGAGCCCGGTATTTTGTTGGTTATGTTGACGCTAAGTCTTGTTGATATACCGTCGACTTTATCAAGAGGAAAGATAAATATTTCGAATCGGTTAAAAACTTTGAATTGGGTATTGACGAAGGGATAAGCATGAGGCAGAACGCGTTTCAGAGCCATTTGATTGCTCCAAACATACTTTGGTAGAAAGGGAGAGTAAAAATGATGAATTAGACCTTAATAGATTCTGATGAGGCAGAATGGTTGGGATCTTTTCTGAATAGTCAGTGAGTGTCTGTTCCATCGGAAATCGTTTTTCTATACAATTTCCGCAGTACGGTCTTCCTTATAAGATCTGGCCAGGAAAGAAGTCAAATTTGCAAAAAGCGTATTTGGAAGTAAAGTCCATGTCTTGAATAAAAGTTTTGGAATGCATGTTCATAGGTTGTTCCAGTTTTCAAAGATGATTGAAGAGATCATATAACTTGTTATGATGTCACTAGAATGATACGCGTCCTGCTCTCACCTTGATTACTGCCCCCCTCTACATGCAACTATGCGGGCGTGATCCAGACGATTAGCAGAGCTGCATAAATTCCCAAAATTTCGCCGTAACATATGATATTCATACACTATATGGTATTTTAATGGATAAATGAAAGGTGCTCCACAATTAACATATAGAGATACAGATGAGTATAAATGTGTTCATTGACTCAATACGGAATGTAATGCATCTTCTGCAAATATGAGTATCACCCATATATGTACGCTAATAGGCCCATCACCCTCTTCCACTAAAAATAGCCAATTCACTCACCTTGTGGACTGCTGAGAAAGTATTCATGTTCATAATCTCGCCGGCAAATCGGTTGACCCTGCCGTAGAACATAATGCGCTCCTCTCGGCAAAGTTTGTCCACACATGCAGCAAGCAAAGCACTCCACATGAAATATTAATCCGGCAGCTCGTAGTACAAAGTCAGAACAACTGATTTTCTCCATGCATCGAGCGCACTTTACCCCATATATTCGTTCATAATCGGCTCGACAATAAAGCTTTAAGTCTCTCGTGAAACAAGAATGTGACAAAGGTCGAGCACAAGCTGCACATGCTAAACAATCCTCATGGTAATTTCTGTCGGCGACTCTCATTAGGAACCTATCAACTATTTTTTGGCCACAGGATGCACAGACGGATTCCAATAAGCCTGATTCTGTCTTGACGGTTACTGTAGCATCTGAAAATAGAAAAAAAAGATGACTTCTAGTTTTGAAATTGATTGACGAGAAGTAATTATTTGGTAAAGCGTAATAATATTTAACCTTGTTATTTGAGATACGGTTTAAGGAACTTCCGCAGTAAGTATACTTGGTGAAAATTTCGAAATGGTAAAAAGACCCAATATTTGGATCATATATTGTTGAGCACATTTAAAAACTATTCCCAATATTTCAAGTACCTTGTCCACCCCATTTTCGAGATATACATCGTCAAAAATGGAAAAAACGCAAAAATTGAATGTTTGGCGATGCATATCTCAAAAATGGGGTGGACCAGGGACTTGAAATTTTGGGAATATATTTTTAATGTGGTCAACAACATATGATCCAAATATTGCGTCTTTATACCATTTCGAAATTTTCACCAAGTATACTTACTGCGGAAGTACCTTAATCTAGAATTACTATATCACATTTTTTGGTTTGGCTGAAAATTGAATCAAAGACAGCTTCAATTTAATGTTTTATGTTTATGAACTTTATTTTAGATTATTCAAGTTAAGACAGCCGAGGCCAATTAAAAGACTTATAAACAGTATGGAAATATCAAACGCATTGCGATTAACTATGCACATTAGGTGCTAAATGTAAGATGTAACATAATAAATGGTATCTACAACTATTCAGCAGCAAGGGAAAATATGAAGATAGTAAATATAGAAATGTGGAGATGATCATTATAAAATTAACATCAATAATAGGTTATTACCGTGACATATGCCTTATTTACTAGAGAGTCCATAGAATCATTGAAAATATCAGCATCGGGGTACAAACTCAATAACAAATTCAAAGCAATACCTACCTGATGCATCGGAGAGGATAGAGGCAGGTTATTCTTGGGCTTGGGAAGATAAATTCTTGTTTTATCTATTTTTGTTTTATCGTCATCCGCATAGAAAAGGTAATTACAGCTTATTCGACTAGCAACTTGATTTAAGAAAATATTGAACAAAAGTGGTCCCAGGTTCGAGCCCTGAAGAAAACCAGAGGTATGGCTGAAGGAGGACGATGTAAATCCATTGTAATATACAAAAATTTTACGATTCAGCAGATACGATTTTAATACTCCAAGTAAGACTTCATCAACCTCAGCGTCTTTAAGAAGATTTAACAATGTTGGAATGTCAAGCTTGTCCGAGGCCTTCGAGAAATCCGTTTATATAACATCAACTTGTTTACCAGTGACTGTTGCATTAATTAAAGCTTGAGAAATTGAGACTAAATTGGTGATTGTGGATCTACCAGAAGTAAACTCATGTTGAAAAGGTGAAATTTGAGACGAAGAGCCGTTACTTATGAGGTTGTATAAACAGATCTCGAAGACCTTCGGGAAGTTAGATAAGACAAATAGGGGGGGGATAGTTTGTAACATCATTTTTAGATCCTGATTTAAAAACTGGGACCTCTTTGGCATGTGTCCGTGTATCCAGGAGAGTCCCTTCTCTTAAAATACTCAGAAGAGTAACGATCAGGTAAAAGTCAAGTCTCGGTCAGCACGATCGAATCAAAGTTAAAACTGGAAGAGTTTTGGAGTACCTGTGGCCCCTAATTGCGAATACTTCTAGTGTTTTGTTAAAAGATAGACATAGATACTGAATTATTCTCTGTTATGTTAAGCGTTGCTGAGCCGTCGATGAAGCCCCGGTCGCTCCCTGGGTAGAAAGTCTCTTCTGCCGATCCCAATCTCGAGCAATTGCGAGCCATCCAAATCTCGAGATGATCTTCGATTTCGGTCCGCCCTGAGTCCCTGCTGTCTCCTGCTGCTGGTCCAACTCCTGACGAAGTTTGGTGTACTCCTGTCTTTGTAGGATTGTTTTGTCCGAGACTAGCTAGAGACTCATCAGCGAAGTCGACAAGGAATGATCTGCCTTCCGCTTCGAGATGATCTGAGTCAACTTTATAACAAGCAAGGCATCAGATAGGAGTACCTTCAGAGGGTGAGGGTGTTGGAGATCAGGAGAATATTTTCCAAGTCGAAAACATTGGATCGAATCCACTGTAGATTCAGGATTGATTAGTTCCACTATTTTTTATGCAGTTGATTTATCACGTGACAGTCATAAACCAGAGTACTTGTCATCAGATTCAACGAGCCCGAAAATAATAATGTTTTTCTTGCGGTCTATTCACTCCTCAAACTCCTTAACACTCTTTGACAGTAACCCCGATTCATTGACATTCCTATCTGCCTGCTGTTGCAAGGCCCTGAATTCGTCCTCAATTTTGTCAACCCTCGCGGTGATCCCCGTAACCTCAGTAGAAATAATGGAGAAATACCATCGTATTTCTGACTGTTTTGAGGTCCTCAATGACGACAGTAATCCTAGCGTCAAAGCCATTGAATTGTTGTCCTAGGGACTTAATATTTGTCTGAATCTCATCCAGCTTAGGACTGAAATACTCGTTCATTGCCCCCATAATACCGGCAAGCGTTAAGAGATAACCAGTAGGAGAATTGGTACGAGAACCACAGCACTTATTGAAGGACCCATTTTCGAGTTGCCCGGCAGCTTTACTGCAACCTGGGTGGTAAACGACAGGGCATAGTGCACAGGACACAAAACTAGTGGCCACAATCCTCCTGCACACCCCACACTTCCTGTTGCTGACAATTTCATCTTCCTCTACCTGTTGAATCGCTATGGGAGGCGGGATCGTTACGCTAGGTGTTATCGCGGGCATTGCCATAATACCGTCGGTAACAGCTGGACACTAGTTCAGTGAAAGTTTATAGGTGGGGCCCCATACACTTCTCCGAGCACGAGATCCAACTGATTTTATTTGCGACCACGAGGTTAGATTCCGTATGGTAAAATTAAAAATGTGAAGAAAAGACTGCGTAGAGTCACCAGAGAGTTTAATCGCTCAAAATGACCGTATTAAATGTAACTGATCGATCTCACTGGTCATGCCTGCACAAGGCCCTCATTACTCGTAAATCACTGCAGATTAACAAACACCTCCAAAAGTAACACTAACTCCGTATGCTGTCCATTTTTGTAACAAAATTATCAAAATATTTCAATGATTACCGATTATATCAGAAAATACAAAAGTCATCTTTTATCGGAAATTTAATCCTCTACGATAAAGGTCTTCTGATATTTTTTGGTAGGGCTGCTTGTTAACGCAATATTTGAAAAACAAAATTACTGAGACGAATAAGAAATTTTTTTAAAAATGTATAGAAAATCGTTACAATGTACTCTTCTGTTGATGAAAATGAAGGAAACGAATTCTCTTATGCGTACCCTATTGCGCCCGAAATTAAGAAATCGATTCATCGGGACCTTATCTACCGATTGCAGAGTTTTTCTGTAGGTTTTGGTGATTCAAAGATGAAAAACAAAAAAACAACATTTATAATTATTTTAAAGTTTTTGGATACTACTCCATTACGCCCCCCTTCCTGTAATACATTGGAGATACGAGTTGAAAATTTCAGAATATAAATAGTGATTGCTAAAAAGCTATATAAGTATGATAGAAACTCTGGTACACGCCTCTTTGTCTTAGGTACCCCACGTTGCCCCGGTCTCCCTTATATTGATTCACTCATAGCATGTTCAACTAAACCAGAAGTTATGTATCCGCAAATATAATTTCGATATGTCATGAAACAGAGGTAAACACATTTATATACAAGGTCTCGCATTTGAAACAATGCGGCTTGATAACTTTTGTAGGAAGAGAGGGACTGCAAAATTGTTCGAATAAAAGTTGTAGGTTTCGGTCTCCAGATTTCAATTGTTGTAAGGTAGTCTAAATAAAGATTTCTCATTCATTCAATGTTTGTACCATTATTCACGTAAAAACGATACCGTGGTCAGAAAATATGATATGGTTGAACTTGTCTGAGTAAGACGAACAATATTTTTGAGAATGGGTAAAATATCCATTCCATGATCGCTGAAATGAATGACAGTTCCAGTAAATGGAGTCGCATAGCTTTTCTGCTTCTACGTAAGGACCATCATCAAAACTAGGTTGTAGGGATCTGCAATGAGTTACTTTCAAGTCCCGCAAGTATTCGTTACGGAACTTGAAAGTATGCGTTCTTTTGTATTCGTTATTCATTACCTTTTTTTCTACCTTATCGACAATCTGAAAAACAATTCAATTATGATAATCAATGGTAAAAAAATTTTTTTTCCATGTAATCGTCACAGCAGAGATAGAGTGGGATATGTTGGAAACGAATCTGCAAATTTTTCATAGAATATCTTCAAAAGCAAGAGGTTTAGAGTAAAATGTTAAAAGATATCTCTTTTGGGAATTTCCTGCTCTACAAAGAAGCTCCTATAACATTTTCCTTTAAACCCATGAGTTTCAGAGATTGAGGGATAGCAATAAGGTCATGAGAAAAAATTCTCTATCTCTCTTAAATTCCGAGACATTCATCAACAAATCGCCAAGTCAAAATCGATTTAACTAGATTTACCGCGCGCGCGCGCGAGAGAGAGAGAGAGAGAGAGAGAGAGAGAGAGAGAGAGAGAGAGAGAGAGAGAGAGAGAGAGAGAGAGAGAGAGAGAGAGAGAGAGAGA